CAGACGTTCAGTAAAAGGGGGTAGGGGTTTACCTGTCGAGAGGAGCATACACGTGTGCGTATATACACACTCACCTCTTGATATGAAGAACCCTTCTTAAGGTTCACTACAAAATAGCACATACAGGTGCAGCCACATAAAGAGGAGAGGGAAGCTGGAACAGATATGAAGAAAAGCTGTAGGGTGAAAGACACTAAATGGCTCCCACCCAGCTGAGAAAATAAAATGTCCGGTGCAGTGACAGCAAGCAGCAGTAACATCACAGAGTGCGGTATGGATTATACTAGGCAGACTTTGGCAGTTACCCCACCTAGACCATCCAGGCTGGTCACAGTTCAGAGCTGCGCTTTATTTATTATTTCTACAGCATGAGTTGCAAGTAGGATGTACATTTAAAAGCAGTAATTCATGCTGTTTCTAGTAACTTACTGAAATAATCAATATACAGTTCCCAACGCTCCCTACAATTACCTTTCACAACATCTCTCTAGAACACATACTGTAGGTAATAGGTAAATACAACAAATAGGTAAATGCAATTTAGACATGGGGAACCCCGACAGAGATACCATTCTGCTGGGTGTCACCCTACTGTTCTTCTCTTAAAATCTAGTTCTGCAATTGGTTTCGCTAAGAGCAGGACTAGACCGATAGATTGAGAGTATCTGAAAGTCCCTACCCAAAACATATTGGCAGGAATCTGAAACCAAGTTAGAACAGACTGAGAAGAGAATTAGAGTTCACTTAATCTGAATGCCAGACACCTCTCCTTTCCACATGCTGGGATTGAAGGCAGATACTCATCTCATACATTATTCAAAACAGAAGTGTTACCTTTTCGTGCTCAGATTTCTGTCAGCTCATGGCAAATCGCAGGAGAAAACTCCGCGTGGCCGGGAGACAGGCAGAAGAGAAATAGTTTTACACTTTCTAATAATATGAAGTGCTACCTGTTCCAGGACATTTTATTTCAGTATTAAGCAGCCCCTGTGACATCTAGGTACTTCATTCATATGACTCCAGGCTTACAATGAAGTCCAGGGTGGGAGCATGATGAGGCAGCATCGGCACATGCCATTGGAAAGGGACTTCTTGTCTGCTGTGTTTCCTGGATCTCGGGGCCAGTCTGGGTGTTATTTTCAGTCAGACGACCAAAAGCACCCATCCTGTAAGCACAGACTTAGTGAGAAAGCACCTCACCTTCAGAAGATGATGCCCATATGAAAGAAACTTATCCATCCTAATTCTCTTGTGATGGTTTTTACTTTCCTGTTGACTCAGACTTACTAGAATTACAGGCCCTTTGAATGGTATGTTTTAGATACCTACATGTTTATTCTATTAGTTGTTTTCATGCACCCTTAAAATAAATAAAATTTTGAGCTAAAAGTACAATGAGAAATGACCTAATGGCTGAAACTCTGGCTTAAAATTATGAATAAAATGCATCCAGTCACAGGCTTGCTGGGCAACCACCTTTACCTGCCTCAATGTATCCCTATTTGTAAATGAGGAATTGGGACATTGCTCTCATTTTATGAAATGCCTTTAGGCTTTTAGGTAGACAGTGCATGATTTTGTTCACCAAAACCCCCATGCTTCTTTTACAGAGCGGTGCCCCACAGCTAAGTAGTAGATCTTCCTTTCCCTGGTTAAACACTTGCAACACCTCCCACCCCTTCCGCTGACGTAAAAACTGACAAAACTGAGCACAATGCGCTCTCATCATTTTCCAGGCTCCTCCAACTTCAAGATGCAACGGAAACAAGCATTGCTGGCTGCGCATTACAGGACCCCAAGTGATGCTGAAAGATCTTGCAGACCGTATTGTCAAAGAGCTGAAGTAGTGCCTCTTGCCCTGTACTGGGAGGGTCTCGGACGACAGGCAAGACAGGGCCTTGGGCAGAGGTACTGAGGTGGTGGGTGTTTTACAGCAAGCTCCTTCTCTTACTTCCAGTGGATCTACAACACATGCATCTGGTGCTGAACTATAACCATCTCCAAATACAAGGAACACAGTGTGAGACAGCTGCAGGCACACTGGAACCAAAGGAAATTCAGAAATAAGTGGGAAGAGCAGTAACTGCGGGGCAGGTGGCGTTGGTCACTTACCCACCAGTGCCCTCCAGTGGCTCACACAGCCACTCACGGAACTGAAGACAAGAACCCGTCTCAGAGGCCAAAGGCACCGCAATTGTTTCACTAATGGACAGAAATGAAAATGCTGACATCTGGATGTCAAATAGCTCTTTTTAAAATTCAAGTTCTTGCATGGAAATCTCATATCTGCTATCATTTCTTACTATATCCATAAAATCCTACGTTCCATCAAGTGAATAAAATATTGATTGCACGCCCTGTAAAATGAGACAACAGAAACCAAAGCGATTTCCAAGACAAAAATGTTTATTTGTACTAAGTCTTCAAATGGGTATACATTCACAATCTTTAAACAAACTCAGTACACGTCTAGGGCAAGCCGAGTATGTATCATTAGAGGATAATGCCTTCCTTAGTAAGTCATGTTCATAAATCAAGTATTAGTTACAAATTTCCGACCTTGTATGCAAAAACCTTACACAGGGGTTAATGCTTTCAGTAAGACTATCCCAGTTGTAGGCAAAACAGAGTGTTTGTAGAACAGGATTCTAATCATTCAGTTCCAGTATCATATCAGTCCTTTAATGAGCAGTAAACATTAGTGGGGGAAAAATATCTAGTGCCAAGCTGAATGTTCTCAAGCACTGAAAAGCAAATACAAATGGTGAAGTATTTATAGAAATTTAAATAAATTACTTTAGTTACTGAAACCTCACTTTTTGTCTGAAAAGAACAAGAATATCATTACAGACTGGAGGAAAGAATTCCATAAAAACCTTTTCTCTGGGGTTGCCTTAGAATAGGTTTCTGTACAAAACAAGAACAATCAAGATTTGGGGGCTTCAGTGGTAGAAGCAGTATTGGAATAATAAAGAAATAATCTTAAAATATATATTAATTTACCAGATTTAGCTCATATAGCCCTTTATGTATCTTACAAAATGCTACTGTTCTACATACTGCATGTAAAAAAAAGTTTATATATATATATATACACATATAAAGGCAAAGCCAATCAGCTTGGTATTAAAAACAAACACAAAGCATAAGCAGACACACTTAAAGTTATGCAGTAATGAGGAGCGTATGCTCCACGTGTGCGTTAGTGTAACAGTGCTTCCAGTCTTCACACGTCCTTTTAATTGTCTAAGCAGAGTGCTTGCTCCAGGTCAGCTCTACCAGTGATTTCAATTGCCACAGACATCTGATGTTACTTCACTTCTAGCCATCTGTTATATTTAGCACTAAATCAGAAATAAGGCAAAGTAACTTTTCTCGCTGATGAATACCTGATGACATTCACGAGATCTTCCAAAAACTGCTGCAGAACATTACAGGAGCACAGGAAATGGTACTGCTGAGCTGAAGCATCTTCCTGCCTACATAAAGCTGCCCCAATGCACACCTATTTCAGAGCAATCCAGGCTAATCAAGGATGACAATTATTCCCAGGCATCCTCTTTGTTTTAACAAGTTTTGAATGATAACTTAAAGCTTCAGGATGCGCTTGTGCTCGTGATTTCTGGTCTAAAAACATCCCTGAGAACAGTGAACAACAGTTCTGACACTGCTCAGAGGTTTGGAGTGGATATTCAGAGTGGATGAGCATTCTTGTTGAGCTCTGTAAATCTCAATGCTAACCCTTGTCTCCCAGCTGCAAGAACGAGTCCACTCTTCATGCACCTAGCATACATTTTACCAAAAAAAATAGTTTAATATACAAGAAAAGCAAGACAGATTTAATTTATCTCTCTTCTCTTGCATCAACCTTAAAAAAAAATACAAAAAACCCAACCAAGCCAGTCCCACCCCCAAACTCCATAACATCACAAATTTTCCAATAATAAATAAAATTAATCTCACTCACAAAGCACTGAAAAAAACCTAGCTGAGATACCTGTGGAATAAAAGAGACAGGCACCTTTGAGCAGCTTTCTGGGAGACTGGTCATAAAGGACTTGATGCAGCACCCATTACAGTTCTGTCCAGTGAAATGGTAAGTTCAGAATCCACCATTTCTCTGGGGAGGCTGGTTCAGGACTACAGTCCAGCTGACGTGTCAGGCACTGGCAGGCACCGAAATGAATGTAGTCAGCGTACTGGTGCATAACCCTTTTGACAACACCAGCATCATCTAGCAGGGAATTCCCCAAACATTCCTCGGAGTGTTGTGTGGAGTGCAACACTTTGCAGCTGCTGGTTAAGCTAGAAACACAGCATGACAATTTTGAGCAGCCGATACCCAAGAGTATCCTTCCCCACCCACCAAACAATACCAGTGAAGAACGACCACAGGTACAACACTAAAATGAACCCTAGGCCTCAGGGTTCAGAATCCCCAGGTCAACATCTCCCACTTGTTAGGGGACTGGGATTCTCGAAGAGCCTAACTCCTGGGAACAGCAAGGGAAAAACCGAGAAATAGAAAAATGCAAGGATTAAAAAACAGAAGGGGAGGTAATGATCCCCCTCTAGCATATTCCCTTTAAAACAGTGTAATTAAAAACTTTAAATTCACTTAGAAATTGGTTCCAAAATAGTCTGACAGATTTAAAGACTTTCAAAAATCAAAATATTCTTCACCAGAGTTCATTAAAATATCCCTGTAGCCCCCCCGAATAATTGCTACCACTTGTTTTGCATTAAAATTGCTTAAATTAACATAATCATAAACATGCAAAATGTTAAAATTTCAACATGTATGCAGAAGAAAACCAACTTCTAATAGAAAGACTCCTAATATTTCAAGGTTACAGGCTTGATTCAGTCTCCATCAAAACCAGTGGGATTCTTCCCATGGTGTCCAGTGGATTTTGGACTAGGCCTTAATAAGAGACAACAAAACATTGTGTTTTATGCTGTAGGAACACACACAAAGTACACTTGTGTACATGCACTGGATATAGTGCAACTTTTGCACTGCGCATCTCAAAAGAGTTGTATTTTAGCCAGTAAAACAACAATCACCAAGACAACACTGCAGGCTGTAAAACAAAAACCGACACACACTCAGACACATTCATGTTGTTACTGTCGCCTAACGAGCAGCTTTGAACCAAGCTTAATGATACATCCACTTGAACCCGGATACAAATTTGAAAGGCAGAAAGCTGCATTAGTACGATGGCCTGATTGATTTTATAGGTGCTCCGGATGACTCTGAAGGCAGGATATCATCTCTCTGACAGGCTTTCCTTCATAGCAGATCTGATACACAGCAGTGAACAGTGGAAACCTGAGGAAATAGGGTGCAGAAAGCAAGTGCAGTGTAAGTTTATTCTGCAACATTTTCTTAAATGAAAGAAATAAAATGGGATGAGGAGAGGGAGAGGAGAGACTGAAAAATCAATTTCTTTTAGTATTTGTCAAGTGCTACCGCTGAGCTGAAAAGCGCTGGATAAACAGAGAACCTACATGCAGCTCTAAAATGAATCACCCTCAAGAAGCATAGCTAGCTATAATGGAGCCTGCAACATTCATTATGTATGGCACAACCATTAAGTGATCGAAAAAACTAAAAAATTAAAACCGCTCGCATTTGTCCTTGACATGCTTATAGCAGTGCTCATCTATGGTGAAAAAGGATGACTGGCACATCAGTTATGCATTATCTCTGAGCAATAATTTGATAATACAATTGCAGAATATGACACAAAGAGACCCAAGAAGAAACTGAAGGTCATTTTTAATAAGAGTCTAAAATTAAACATGGATTTTGAAACACTAAATTCTATCTCTTCTTTTTTTTCTTTTTTTTTAAATTGGCCACATCTCCAACAACCCTCGAGTTATTCAGGCTGCTTTGATAATCTGAAGGCTTCTTACAGCCAAGATGCTTTAGAGAAATTTATATTTGCTTTCTGTCCATCCTGTACAGTGACAGCCAGATAAGTCCCATTTTCGTCCCGTTTTCATACAGACCCTGGTGAATTTTAGGGATTAATTATCTAGTCACCAGAACAAATATGCCATTTCAGTGTGGCCTTTTATATTGATAAATTTTGACCAAACACACTACATTATTTTGACTGAAAAAAAAATAAGGAGCACTGGAGATGGTGAAATACTTAATTTCTGAGCGATTCAGTATACATCTGGACTAGGACTTTCTCCTGAGGAAAGTGGGACCATCAGTCACTCTAAAGCTTTCTCTGTAATGCACAAACGCAGCACTGAGCAGAACCCCCAACCAGTACTGAGCACCACATGGGCTTGCCCGTACACTCTGCTAGCGCGTGTTACACTAAGGTAACCCTGGTGTCACCACACAGCTCTGAACTACGCTCCTCAGAACGAACCAGAGGTCACACGAGAAGCCATGAGCCATTTGAGAGCACCATCACAGTACATTACCATTACTACTGCATTTGCTGGGGCAGATACAGGATTCGGACTTGGCTGAATGCAATACTTTGCACTACTGAGGAAAAAAAAGTGGAAGAAGGGACATGCTTGTGAATTTAGTCCATCATCTCTATGGCTTTTATTACAAGTGCTCAATTCAAAATGTAGAATTTCATTTTTATCTGAAACATTTTAATGTCCTGCTACGAAACACATGGCCATTTCTTTTGGTTTATTTTTGTGGAGAACAAGACAAAAATAGCAGCAATAGCAAAAACTATTATAGGTCAATCCAACTGACTTGATTCTTGTTTTTATTTCATCGGTGGAACCAAAATTAGCATATAGCCACATAGCTGCTTTCAAATCCAATGCTACACTGTTTGAATTGCAAAACCCTTACTAGGAAACATGCAGGAAAAAAATTTACACAAAGACTTTTGCATTTATTAACAATCCTCATTTATCACTCCTCACTGAGGGGGTGGGGAGGGACTGAATTTACTTTTACAGTAAAATCTTCAGTGTAGGCGCTAAAATGAAATTTGTTATGCCTATGTGAGAGGCGGCCACAAAACACGTGAACCTTCTGAAGCAAATTTCACACAGCTTTAGCTACAGTACTGGCAGTTACTTCTCAGTGAATAAGTACCACTATTACAGACTACATCTTGATACAAAAGTCTTGCTGTTTATCACGGAGAACATTACTCTGCTGGGCACAGGTCTGCCACACTTCACATGCGGAAAGCAGAATCAAGGCTGCCCACAGGCTCATGGCCAGCAAACTCCACATGCATCTTATGTCTGAGCACACTAAGAGAACTAGTTCTACAACTGTTGAAATGAAAAAAATTAATTGCACTGTAAATATCAATAGGCATCAACTCTGCTACCAAGGCTTTTCTACTGAACTATGACTTTTGCATGCTCCTGTGTAGCCTTGGGACTCTCTTTGCAGAATGAGAGTACGAAATTTTACTCTTACCTCCTCACTTTGAAACCATGGCTGTTTTACTGTGTTTTAAAGCAGTAGCAAGAAAGTTTTCGAAAAACACTGAAAGTTGCTTTCAAAAGTCTTGTTGAATGAGACCTTTATGAAGAACTGACACATATATGTTGGTATGCTAAACAGAAATTTAAAACTCACTGTTCTCATATCTTTCATTAAAAACATAAGCCAAAGTTTTCTATAATGTATCCTATTTGTTGTAAGATAGAACAGGGGAAAAAACCAACCAAACAAAAAAAAAAAAAATCCCAAATACAGCATCATGTCTCATTTAGGGGATCATAAATGCAAAGAGTGAAGCCAACATTTTAATTAGATTTTTTCTGCAGTTAGCTTAATTACTGTACACTGCAGAGACAGACTTAGGTGGCTTACCTCCAAAGATAATGTTAAAAATTAAGTAATTTAATGCAGCTGATCCATTAAAACCAGACTTCAAAAACTGTTTTGGAAAAAAGGTAACAAGGCTTGGTCTTCTGGCTGCCAGTCATTTATTGTCTGATATTGCCTCCTCTACAAACAGGAACAGATAGACGCATGCCTTAATCCCATAAGGAGACATCTGTGTGTGTGGCTTTAGGAATCACAAGTGTTCTGACTCAAATACAAATGAACAAGCCAGGGCAACCTGCTTCATTTCATACAGCAAAAAAATCCTGACCTACACAAGCAGATGGCAGGTTTTATCCTAGACGAAACTGGAAGTCGCTTTAGGAAAGAGAACTGCGGTATCTAAGCTAGAATCCATGTGGACAGAAGCAGCCACTCTATTCAGATGATCACCTATACAGATCCTTAATAACAAAGCTCCTCTCCTTGGAGATAAGTAATGAATTTACTACTACAAAATGAGCTGTAGAGCCTCTTCAAAGGTCTCTTTAGGAAGCTCAGCTTCTATTTTCATGTATTTTATTCTTTTCACATGTTAAAATACACTTGCTGTGCTTTTCTGTGGTAGCAGGAGGCAATACATTCGGCAAACAGAAAGGTATTCACAAATTTAACGTCACACTTTTACCTCTATGTACAGCAATATTATTTTGAGGTTCTACTCACTTCTCTCTGTGATTTCAACTGGGGATTAAGCTACTTTTATTACAGTGATTTTCTTTTTGGCTATCACCTTCATGGAGATATCAAAACCAAATATGCAGAAAGAATTATGGAGATAAAAAAGGGGTATACGGAATTTGCTTTATTTGTCTTTACTTACTTTTCCAGCAATCCTTTCTGCTTGAGGATGCGATACACTTCTGCAGAAGTCTGTGGTCCTTGCAGTTTTTGACCATTCAACATTTCGTTCTCCAATTCTTCAATAGACTTAACAACAGAGGGAGCAAAAAAAAGGAAGGAGAGCTATGATAAAGTTTTCATGAGCCTGACAACATCATCTGGATGAAAAAAAAAGATGTTACTGAGGGTTTTTCTTTTCTCAAAAGTGACCTTGAGTGAGCATATATAATATTCTCCTATATTCTTGTTTGTAAATATTCTCCTTCTTACATCTGCATCTCCCAACACCTTACCTCTCCAGTTTTTTGTTTTTTTTTTTTTTTTTTTTTTAAATCAGCTCTCCTTTTTAACACCTTTACACTCATTCTAGCCTTGTAACACACTCAAAAATGAGAGGAAAGGGAAGGGTACTCGCTCAGTACAGCTAGCATGTCTCAGATAACTGCATTATTACTCCAACAAACGAGGAGCACTAGTACTTGCAACAATGGATTTCACCCAGTGAATAAGGTACCTTTCCGGTTTTAACGAACGCTTCTGCTACACGTCGATTCCGGCCGCCGTAACATGTTGTGATGAGATCAGCAACTCCACAGCTCTCCAGGAAAGTGGCAGTAGACACCTGTCCTTTGCAAAAAATTCTGGCAAAGGCAATCATCTCCATTAGGCCAAGGCGAATAACAGCAGCTTTGGTATTGTCACCGCAGCAAAGGCCATCACAGAACCCAGCTCCCACTGCTACTATATTCTAATAAGAAGAGCAAAAACAAATAGGAAATGAGTCAATTATTCCTTGCAGAATCCTAGGAGACACCAAAAGACAGAGTGCAGAAGTCCTTAAGAAATGCAAACGCTTTACTAGTGCAAGACTTAAGTTGTTGTTTTGGGTTTTTTTTGGCATTTTGAGGTCAATGGGATAACCTCAAAAAAAAAAAAAAAAGGGGGAAAGAAAAAAAGATGACAAGTCTTACATTAGTAAGTATCTCCAAGCATAGTTAAAGCTCTGTAACAAGTTGCCATAGAGGCTGTGGAGCTACTGTTATTGACTATCTTTAAGAACAAACAGATTACACTACACCCAAACAAGGTTTTTATCCAGACTGAGCTGTTCCTGCCCTGAGGTAGGGGTAGAGTTAGACTGACATCCCACAGCCCTTTTACCCATATTTTCTTTATGCTTAAAGTAATACTGAATCTAATCAGCATTGATTGACTTCCATGTTAATATGCTAAGGGACTAAATTCAGCCAAGCTAATAGTATTCACCTCTTTTAAGTATGCAGTGTTCCTACAACAGTAATAGTTAATCAAGGATTCCCAGAAGGTTCATGACACAGAAGACCTTTCCTAAGCAAAAAATGTTGTGGGTTTTTTTCCTTAGACCCAGTGACAACTTTCCGCAAAGAATGTGCTGTTTCTTCGTGAACAATCAGCTATACAGTCCCTTCTTTGGTTTATGAACATAGAGATTAGTTGAGAGACTTCTGAGTGAAGTGACTATAAAAGCTATTTTCTGGCCTGGGAGTCAGAGCGCAGCCATCCAACAAAAAAAAAAAAAAAAAAGCCCCCACAAAACCCCCAGACACTCCAAAAAAGATGGCGTTCTGACATACTGATAAAGCAAACAAGGAAGGAATAGATGTAGCCATACCTTTCTGCATGCAACAACGGCAGCAGTGACCTCAATAGAAACCACGGGAGAACCAACAGTATGGCACCTAATGTAGCACTCGATGCAGGGAAAAACCCCAACCAATCAACCAACCAACCCAACTTTAACTGTTGCTGAAGAAACAGCAACAGTCAGAGGTTGCTAGTGAAAGCAACAAGCTGATTAACAGCTGGTTTTGTTTTGGTTTTTTGGATGTAAGAACCAAAAACTGCAGGCAGCTGCAATGCTGTGTGGCCAGTCATGGCTAGGTGACTCTGAATCAAATGAGGTCAGAGGATGAGTCATTCTTTTTTGAGCAGCTAGCTGAGGTCTAAAGGTGACGTTAAAAATTGCAATCAGATGTCTCAACATCAGACCTGAAGCAGCAAAAGATGATTAGACTTTTAAAGCTGGTACATTAGATCATCTTGGCTTAAATCTTGGCAGTAGTGATTCAGTCAAGGTATGTTCTCATTAGACACCTCTCCCAGAGCAACCTCCAATATTTGTCCATTTGATGGCAAAGCAAGAGGAAGTCAAATAGGTATTTAAGAAGTTTTCAGATGGGATAACCCATTTAAATGGAACTGACACATATGTGAAGTCTGCAAGTGTTTAGCGCTCAGCTAAAAACAAAAACATTTTTGAACAATGTCTGGGCTTTTTCCACTTACTTCTTGAACAATATTAAAGCTTCTCCTTCCCTCCAACTTTGCCTGCCTTGACTTTCCTTTCCACTTTGAAGCAGCCTACCTGATCATAACTTACAGTATGATTTGGCCTGTGGTATTTTGTTGTCTTCTACTACCTTCTGCAGTGTTTGTCTTTGGACCAACAGAAATACTGTTTTAAGAAAGTCATACCAAGACTAGTTACTTCTAAGTAAATAGGGGAGGGAAGAAGGGAAGTTGTGAGTCTAACTCTGGAACACTAATGTCCTCATTTGTACAATGTCCCCATTGTATGTTCTTACACACAAATTGCAAATAATGAGGAAACAAGACAACTGATTACTCTCTAGAACACACACCCATGCCTAGGAGACTGTTATATCCTGGTCTACACAACCCTCAGGCCACAACTACGAATTTACAAGTCTACCATCTGGTTTCATTTAAATACTTGAAGAATTGATGACAACTCTCTCATGTCTAATATACTGTACAGAACTGAACTACACCACATTCGAAGCTACACCTTACTGAAAGATGAGCCACTCCTTTTAAAAACAAAACAACAAAAAAAATCTCACAAAACTGGAGACTAAGTCATCTTTCAGTCCAAAAGAAGACTAAAATAGGCAGCTTGGTACTTGAAATCTCTGGGTGCAGGCACTAAGCTGAGTTTGTTTCAGGAAGATGCATAAGCAAAACACAAGTTAACACACAAGAGCCTAATGGCGCTAGAACTGTAGCGATCTTCTGAGAAGCAGATTTGGGGGGGGGGAGAATCATGTAGCTATCTGGTGAAAACATCTCTCTGTATCTGATATGGTTGATGCTGAACATTGCCACTGCCAAAGCCTACCCCTGAAGTTACAAAAGCTCCTGCAAATGCAATGGGTATACATTCGTGCACGAGGAGCGAGCCCATGCTTCCATGAGCTCAAAGACTGACTGCATTTGCATACACAACATGGGGATCAGAGCCCAACAAGCAAGGACAACTTTAGCCTACAGACAAACCCGTTATTCCAGAGGTTCAAAAATACTGCCACAACCACCCCAAAATGACTGCAACACACTGCTCCTCTTGGCCTGAGGGATTCAGAGCTCTCAAAAACATTTCATGCTTGAGCAAACACATTCCGCCCATCTCAGCATTAACAGCTTTTTACATTAAAGCATGCATCCTGCAAGCAAGATGCACAGGGTGTTTTTATGTTGCATATGGCTTTAAGCTACTAAAATACTTTGCACTAACAGGTGAGTCTTTAGCTGGTCTGGTATCCACAAGCTGGCATTAGGCCCAGTCCTAGTTATTCTAGAATGTGAGCAAGGACTGGATTCAGCTATTTTATCACCAGGATAGTGACTCTATGCTCCAGAAAAGATATGTTGATACCAGGCAGTGCTCACAAATGAGAAAATGTGTCTTTTACTTGCACATGACCTGCTGCAAACATGCCAGAGGTCACAAATGCAAGGTCAATAGATGACCATGAAACCAAGGCTAACAAGTCCACAGACTTTGCTGACAGATTGTACTCTTACATAGCTAGTGCTCAGAAATATCCAATTTACAGTTAAGTTTGTGGAGTGCTCATGAAGACAGCTTCAGAGGCCATTTCTGAGGCAACCATTACCTCTCCATAATTAAACGGATCCTTACAGAACTAAGCAGAAATGTTAATTCACCTGGGACGTCCAGCCTTCCTTGAGGTAGTGTCACAGCTCAGCCCAGCCTGCTTTCCCTCCTGCTTACACATGAACTTGGAGAAGCTCCTTGCTGCACATCATGGTTGAGAGAGGTCAAAGGAAGACTCAACAAATCAAAGACAGTATCAGCAGGACTGCTAAGAGGGGTTAAGCATAAACTGCTTGCTTGCTCCTGGCAAGCTTGAGTGTAAATAATGGATTTCATTTCCCCTTAATCTCAGGAAAGAGTAATTAGCACAACCAACCTCTATGGCACCTAGGCTGATCATCCAACAGTGACTGCCATAAACACACTTTGCAAGACCACCTTTGCAAGTAATAATGCTGGGTTACATAACCTGATAAACAATAAATCAACATTATCATTTTTACTTCTTTGCTTAACGCTAAGCTGGAGCGACAAGATTTAGAGATGGGCCTGAAGCTACCTGGAAGCCAATGACAGCTGCTGCTCCTTCTCCTTCCTACAGTAACAGTCATATCTGTCTTGGTCCTTGGCTGCTGCCACTTGAGGGTTTTTAACTCTCCAGATCCCTGACCATATACATCAGGCAGCTGGAGCGTGGCCATTTTGCCATATCCAGAGATTAGATTCTCACTTCTCCTTCCCTCATGCTCGCCCCCAGCACCGCTGCACTGGGTAAGTGACTCCAGTACAGTTTATGTCCAGGAATGCAGCTATCAATGTTTATATTGCCTCTCAAGTATGCTGTGAGGTTCATACACCAGCTCAATCTTGCCTCACATCTGTGCTGTTTGATTGCAAGACCACACACTGGCACAGGCACTACAGACATCTTGGAGGTGATAACCTTGCATCTGTGCCACTGTGCAGTATCACATCCATCAGCATCCAGAAGTGCATCCATATGTATGCACAGCTGCACATACTGCCCTTACAGTGGTGTCATAACCTTGAAGCACTTCCTAGGAAGGTCTGTTCATCATCTGGCAAACGGCAGTCAGAGCCCACAGGTGTCCTTGGGTCAGACTGCTGGTAAAACCAACTGGACACCTTGAAACTGACCTATCCAAATTTGAAGGTTGTTGATTTCTGACCTTGACTCTTAGAAAAGGTCAAGAAATAAATGTGAAATGTGCTTCATTCCCCAAACGAAAAAAGTCATGATAGAAGAGCATGCCAAGCATTTTTTGCTCCTACAGCCAACAAGTTACTGTAGACAGCTGTTTTGCTCAGTATCATCAGATTTTGTAAAGTGACTGCCATTGCCTATTCAGCCAGTTTCCAAGCTGACGCAAGACTGCAGTCTCACTGCGCTGATTTCTGTACGTCAGTCCATTTCCATTGGCCCATTGTCACAAAAAACAAATACAGTAAATGAAGTGGATATTCAATATATATATGCATATATATATATATGCATATGTATATAAATAGCAGTCAAGTACATGTTCTTTCATGATCACCCAGCTGCAATACCTGTTATTACAGTCTGAATTCAAACATGCTTCAGAAACAACTTTCAAACCTAAAATTATCGTTATTGTAAGGGAAAGCTGTGCTCAGAGCACTCTCTGTTACCTTTCTGTATTTTTTCCCAACCTTCAGGCTGCCATCCACACTGCAAATCTTCCCTGCTTAGAAAGGTTTGTGGAAATAAAGAGCAAGGTAAGTATAGACTTCTAACCAGATCTAGTCTATTATGCCAGAAATAGCAGAAAAGTCTCCTTTTCCCAACCTGGTATTTATAGAAAAATGCAGAAGCTGGGAGAATGTACTATTTCTCATAGGGTACTATTTGTCATCCTTTAAATACCAATACAGGAGTTGCTTTTACTATTTCCAGACTGCCTTTGTGGATGTGGACTGGCATGTGTGCCTGCTTCTTACTTCTGTTCTCTAAGCCATAGTTTGCAGGGACGCTGCTGACGTTTTGAATTGGCACTGCTATAGAAAGAGAGTAGAACGCCTCTTTTTATACCTATCTCCTCACACAATACAACACTGTCATCTTCTGAAATAGGAACTTCCTCCTTCCAGCCAGTTAAATAATGCTAATTTTTACTAGTTTTTCATGAAGTAACTTTCCAGCTTTAATAAAGTAACTGTAAGCTGACAGAAGCTACACTTTAAATTTTTCCCTAAAAGCAATCACATGAAAAGATGTTTATTTTTCATGGTTTTTTGTTACAAACATTATCAATCATAAAAAAGCAAAGTGCCTGTTGCTACTCTTAGCAAACAATTGTCCCAATAACAAGAATGTTCAGCTTCTAAGAAAAAAAGCTCGAGTTTACATTTCACTATTCACATCTGAGCTTTACATTTTGCTTTGCACAGGCAACGAAAACATACCCATTTGTTTAATTTTGGCTTCTTCGTTTCCTTTCAGAGGCATACATGTTCCCAATGCATAAATAAAATTTTGTTCAAGTTAAAAGCAGCTCAGGAATTTATTTACATGCCAGCACAAGATTTAGGATTAAACTACAAAGAGTTTTAAATGAAAAATTACTTCTAAAAATATGCTTTTAATAACATTTCCTGAGATTAAGGAAGAGTTGTATGCTTAAAAAACATCACCTATACTAGCATGACTGATCTATGCCACTTTATACCAGTTCAGGCCTTTTAATCAGGCAATAAATCCATAGTATTTTTAAACAAGTTAATCTATCCCTAATTCGCTTTTTGTTTAGAGCTCATACCATGCATTGTTTTGGAAGTCTCAACTCAGTTAACAAAATATACTGCAATCAAAACCAAATGACCAGAGCACACAAGATATATACAGCTTTTTAGAAATGCAGTTAGAGTTCAGTCTGCAGGATGCGTGATGAATAATGAAGCAGGAGGAAGGAACAAAACAAGGCTGCAAAGAAAATACACAAGTTTCACCTCTGGATCTTTCCAGGTCAAGAACAACAATTTATTTAAATTCTTCTGCACTTCCAAAGGGGTACTAGTACCTTGCCAGACTTAGACATTTACAGTGCAGTTTCAGTGTCTGCTGACTAGCTGCTCAGTTTGATGGGCACGCTCATCTCTAGTGCCCTTTCGTGAGATTTGTCTGGAATAAAAATTACCTGGGACTGAACTCCTCTATCAAGCAAGAATTTAAGCTAGCCAGAAAACATCAAGCTGAGCAGATTTCAATGAAAAAAAAACCTGTAGAACTTCTTGACTATTTTCATGGGTCTATACACAGGGATTTCTTTCCTACTAACCTCCCACATCACCACAGCATTTAAAAAAAATGGCTGTGGAGCCAAATCACGAGCGCCGCAATCTTGAGAAATTGCTATAAATACAGTAACTCCAAAGCATATTACACCAAAGTGTATCCCATTAGCTCAGTGCACAGACCCACGACCTCCTCCTGGTCAGGACTTCCAGCATGACAGCTCTTGAGACAAAATTATCAAGAAAACCCGTATGGCAAAAATTATGTTATTACAGCTATCAATCTACTGCCTGCTGAGCAGGAATCAGAATCTTAGCTTAAAGACATTTTTCATTGGTGTGGTAGCTTTGCAAGTCAATGGTGTAGTTTACACATAATTTCAACCCAGAAAATATAAAATAATTATCCAAAGAAATATAAAATAATTATCCAAAACAAAAAAAAGTAGGCTAAATCACTACACCTATCAGAAATGCTTCCATATAGATGTCAGATAACATGAACTACAGTACTATTGGCCAGGGTGCCAAGTGACTAATGCCTTCCTTTCACAAATGGCCTGTAAATTAACCTGAAAATAATAGCAATAAGAATATGTTTAGGCTAGCCTTTGCTTGCTGTCAACATCAATTTTGTTAGCAAAAAAATTCCAGATGAGTAACTGTCCCAAATAACTTTTTTCCTATTTGGGTCATTTCTGTATGTGGTTATCCACATGAGTCTTATGCAGTGTATGTCAACAAAATATAAAACACTGTGTAACTCAATGAGGAGCAGAATAGTTTTGTCAACAAAGGATTAATGCCAACCTCTTTCTCCCTTTCTTTTTGTGAACACACTGTTGCAAAAGAAAAAGGGAAGTAAAATTGTTGATCAGTTAGATGAAATCAACTCTTATTTCATGACTGTGCGTAAGCTAAGTGAAAGATGTAGAAAGTGAACTCGCGAGATGGTGAGACAAGGGTCTGAAAGCCAACTCTCAAAACATGCTGCTCCCTAGTTTCCCGTCTGGTTCTTCCAGAAATGTGATGTAGCAATTTTATATATTATATAAAGCACAATAAACATAATTCTTTAAATGAAAATATCCTCTTTTTTTCTACAAGCATCACCGTTCCATCTGCGTACCAACTGCAGCCTGTTAATCTTACCTTCAGAGCACCACAAAGCTCAACTGTATCTGCATCATCTACTACAGTTATCCGGAAGTTTGGAGTCTGCAGGAGTTCTTTGAAGAGAAGGCCATTTTCCAAGATTTTGCTGCCTGTTGAGAGAGAGAAACGAAGGCTAAAAAAGGAATAATTTATTTGGGTATTATTTAGCTTTTCCTGTGCAAGCCAAAATACTTAAAACTAGAGATATGGTTGTTCTATCTTCATCCTAAACAGGTTCCTGTTTTAATTGAGTAAGGACATGTCTACATTGCACTTAAAAGCTCTGCACTGAGTTACTCTGCACTTCTACATAATTCATCGTCTGCTCACCAACAGATTCTAAGCAACAATTCCAGTAATTCTCTATACTCTCTCTTCTTTTGATCATTCTTTCTAAAAGAACAGTTAATAATAGAACAAAGATGAATTAAAAATATAATAGGTGCAATTCTAACAATTATTTTTAAGGCCTGCATTCCAGAAAAATACCTACTGTTAAAGGCATGTCAAGGATGTTGCCACTAACAAATGTTTCTAAGTACTAAGAGGTAATTCAACTATTCAAAAGTAAATTCAATGCAAAAGCTGTTAATGAGAGATTACAAAGCTAAAAATGCACAAAATTAAAAATTAACACTGAAAAAATAAGATGAACTCTGTGCTATTATGTCTCACTATCTGTATGTGCATACACACACACATATGCCTATCTAGACTCTTATGAAATTCAAGATTAGGTGCATCTTTGTGCTGCAAAGGTGTGCTGACATCAACACAGAACTAAAACAATGTCTAGCTTTTGGGGGAACTAATTATAATGAAAAATTAAAGTAAAATAATGATACCTTAAAAAAAACAACCACCCAAACATGCATAAAGGTACCATCTGTGACCATAACACCTGAGCTGGAGTACAGAATATATAATAATTTCTCCATATAAAGCCATGCAGACACAAGAAAAATCTTAAGCACAGTAATAAAATAAAGCAGCTTTTTAGGTGGAGGGTGTTAAAAAGCATGCTTAGTACTTCACCTGCTGAAGTCACAACCCTAGTGAGACTAGGTAAAATTGCACTGCTCCCTCTCCCTCTATTCCTGGTATTGTCCTAGTATTTCAGAAGTGTAAACATTCTAGGAAATTCAATGTTAAAATAAGAAAAACCCAACAGTTTCTGATAACAGACAGCTAATGTTGAAAACGATAAAATTTGAGCTATTTGGTGTGCAACTGTGAAGACAGAAGCATGTTTTAAACGTTCTTAATTGCTTGGAACAGTACCTATTGTGGTTTCACAGAATTTCTCTGCTGCCACCTCATTGGCAATGTTAGCTCCCATCAGCACACTGATGTCTATTCCCATCTTCTCTCGAATTATGTCAGAGATCAGTTTGAGTCCCTCCGGGCCTTCATCTATTCCCTGCAGCCAACATTAAATGGAGTTACTAAAAAGTCATTCATTACACACAACAGACAAGAAAGCACATCACACTTAGTCTTGTCCACGTATGGGACCTGCAACAAGGCCTATTCAGACAGAGACTAACGATGACAGACTTGCTACCAGTGAAACTTCTGCTGTTGTTGTGACCTCCCCAAGCTGTCTTCTTTTCATAGGAGGTAGCACCTTAAGAATTAGGACTAAACTCTAGGTGAGGGGAACAGTTTTTATTCCATGCTCAATCAAAGCCCTGATTCTATGAAGTGCTGAATATTCGCCTTTGTTAGTTCAGAATCTTAGCCGCTCATTTTCAGCATATCCTTACTAGAACCAGTGAAGCATCACCAATCCATCAGTTGTGAATCAGGCCTGCACTTGGATTTGAAATTGCACCAAAACTCACAACATGGCACCCCAGCAACTTGTTTTGTGAAGAGGAACCTGAACTGAAATATCAGAGGCAGATTCCCTTGTGTATAATACCAACAACAGTTTACTAGTAGAAACCCACTTTAATCATTTCGAATACTACTACAAATGGAACAGCCGTTCACAGATATGTAGAAAGCTGAACAACTGAGAATAATTTAACTTCAAAGGGTATTTTTAATCTATATTTGTAACGCAGTCTTTACAAAGAATGAAAGTAGGGGCAGAAATAGGACCTTAGAAAAGATCACTCCAAAGATTAATGCTGAAATGGAGAAGAAAGTCTAGTACCCTGAATTGCCTGAACCAAGAACTCCAAATGAGACCACTTTCTTCTCACAAAACCCTTTTCTCCTAGCCTGCGAAGTGCAGACTCCTTTTGAGTTTTCAGAACAGGGGCATGGCAGACAAGCTACTGAAATGGTCTTTCTTTCCCATAGTATACCACCTTTTACACAGAACTATCTTTGAATGTTGAGGATTTGGTACTTTTGAGGATTGGTAATTTTGAATTATGACTTAAAGGCAAAAAGGCAGTGTGATCCTCTACTGCTTCCAGACACACACACTTTATGCTGCCAGTAGCAACATTTCAGGCAGGCAGTAATTTGTCCTTCCACAGATCAGAGGTGCTATTCCTTAAATAACATGGTGCAATCAAGAGGCACCCAGAAACGCTTGTATAAAACCAGCCAGTTAAACTGCAGACAACAGTGCCTCCATTTCTGCATTATTGTTCAATCCGTTTCACTTAATGCACTGCTCTGCTTTCTCATCTTTAATGAGCCATACAGAAGGAATCGGAAAGCAAGCACACACATACATGTTATATTTTTCCCTCACAGCGTCAAAAACGTAACAGAAAAACATGCACACATTGGGAACAACTCCAAAAATGTGAATACACGCACAACAATTATTCATACAAGTGAAAGGAGATCAGACAGGCTTAGGTGCCAAATTCAGCCCAGCTATGAAACAGATGCAACTTCTGACAAAGTCAAGGAGAGCTGCACCTGTTTCTTGTAGACTTAAATTCAATGCTGAGTGAGGACAAGAGAAAAAACAAGAACCACTCCCTCCCCCAAAAGCCAAGGCTCCACCTTGGGAATTTCCACTGGGCAGCAATGATCCCCAGGCAATGCAAGTCCAGTTCTGTGGTCTTATCGCTTGCATCCTAACACGCCTGCCACAGCCATCCTTGGGGCCTCTGTGCAGGTAGATGAAAATGAGATCGATGTTGAGGCTGCCTGAAGAGTATGCTGACTGACCTCCACCTACCCTGCTTCCTGCGCTCACTGCTGCACCGTGTCGTAAATTGTATACGGTTCCTCCCCCCACACTCACACAATGATTTGTGAAGTTTTCATAGGCATCAGTGATCAGAACTTATGTAAAGCAACACTGCTGCAAATGTTTCAATGGGAACACAGACTGACCAGCAGGCACATGTCTCTATTTCCCAAAGACTCAGTTTTATTATCAGACGTTAGACTCTGCTTGAAGATCAGACTGTCAAAAAAAAGGAAAAAAAAGACTAAAAGTTGACAGACTGCTAACTTGCCACGCAATTTAGAAAGCACAGAAACAAAACGTCCCACTAATGATATTTTTCACAGCAGAACTGCACTTTAACTGCCAAAGTTAACACAAAGCACTTTAACAGCATTAGTGTTGAGCATAATGAGACCACTAAAAATATGACTTTGATGAAAACGGCATGCTTAAAGAAGCAGAGGAAAGAATGTTTTGCCTCTACTAAGTTTCATTACCGTGTTAAATCTCTGCCCTTTCTTCTTAAATGATACTTTTAATGATGCACAGTTACACCTTTTCACAACAGCTAACATGTACTTCATGATGCTCAGGTGTCACTATTTTACTTACACTACACTAAGTAAGGGTTTTTTGTTTGTTCTGTTGGCGGTTTTTTGTTTGTTTGGGGGTTAGATTGTTTTTTTAAGATAAGTAGCCCCCTTTTGTTTTTTTTTTAAATATAGCCACTAATCAACGCTCCATTAAAGCACTGGTAATCAATATGCAGAGCAGTAATCCCAAGGGAATATAGGCTGACTCTGACTTCAGATATGCTGACTTCAGATATGATGGGTTATTCCTGTCACTCAGGACATGAGAACATACGTCACCTTTAGCAAATTAAAGAAGAATAAAGTTTATCTTGAGCTTACAGAAGAAAGAAGCATAAACAGACAACTTCAAAGCAATAAACTTTAGGGCATCTAGGATAGTTGTGTAGTTTTGATGCTATACATTCAGCTCTTTTAACACTGCTTTATTTTATCTTTGTACAATATGAAAAGTTTTTCTAGAAAATGCAGCAAGTGCACTGGGAAGCATTACTTTTTCATACATCTCAGCAATGTATCAGGTCAGCACTGACAAAACAATACAGATTTGATGATCTTAGTCAAATTAAAGAGACAAGCTTGCATTAAGCAGTGATAGGGCGTTGCTGTTCTTTGTGAGCACAGATCCATAAGCGTCTAATTTTCCAGAAATGACAGTAAACATGGGAATGTGTGCTGGGAACACGGCCTACTCTTAACTGAGTACAAAGCAACAACAAACCAGAATCTTACAAACCTTGTGGGAATATCTTATTCTTTGCAGCTAAACACACAGGCGAAAAAAAAACAAAATAGAAGCCCATCCACATTTTAAAATCTCATGCCACCCAATACTACAAACACTCCAGTGAAACACTCCCTGCACCTCTGCCCCCTCCTATTTCCTATGCTAGAACTGTCTTTTTTGTGCCATGCTGATCAACTGCTCTTTTGTTGCATATTTGACACGAACAAGCGCACTATCCTCTCAGTCACATGACATTCTCTCAGCAGTTCTTAAAATGATGAACTCAGCATGTAGCATGTGCACTAACAATCAAAGCATTATGCTTGTGCTCTGTTCTTCATCTAATGATGCATTTGGACACAACAAACAAAAGCTCAGAAAGCTTGGTGGTGCAAAACATATTCACTCCCTCTTTCTTTTTAAAAGTCTTGTGAACAGCCTCATTCTCCTCTTCCTGCAAGCGCTAGCCTAAAATAAAACACCGCATAACAATCCAGTAATGATTGAGACAAATTCCAATCTCAGATCTAGGGAAGTTTAATGGAGCAATCAAGTGAATAATGCAGAGAGACTTTTCATATCAAAATATCAAGCCATCTTCTTTAGAAGATTCCATGACACATTCTCAGTTATTAATGCATAGCATTTATTATACCTTTATGAGAGTTATACCGAGTGCTTTCTTGGGTACTCGTCCTGTGATTTCATCGCAGATTTTATGAATGAATTGATGAGGTATCACAAAAACCAGCAAGTCTGCATCCTGCACAGCTTCATTAAGGTTTGGAATGGCAACCTGTATAGTTACCGGAGAGAAAGGCCACATAACTTCTTGAAATTAACACTACACACATGTTATCTGATAAGTAAAAGCACATTTTGGTCTTACACTGAATGCTACAGAGTACTGTGCTTCATCATTGAAAATAAGCAGTAACATACACTTCTCAGAAAAGCAAAAGAATTTAAGATTTCAAACAAGCTATTTTATGTCTCGAAAGGGCCACCAGCATGGTTACTGCAACAAAAATTCGAAATGTTCCATAATATCCAAAGAAGTACTTTGAGTAAGAAAATATAAAATAAGAAGCTGCCTTCTCTTTGACAAAATAATCTCATTTTTTATAAATCATTGCATGCAGAAAAGTAGTTTCTTTACTTAGTTCCTTATACACTCCAATTTCTTCTCCAGGCCTCTTATACCTACTAGTTTATATTCTCTTCCTCTGTACTCACAGATTTTGTTTACTCTTTAAGAAGGTGACTTACTTTGAAGTCACTTGCCAGGCTTCACTTTTCCTAACACCTGATGACTGTCTTTAAATTTAGTTTTAAAATGTAGCAATAAGCTCGTCCTATTGATAAAGAGAACAAACTTGAATGAGCAGATAGTGGACAGCAGAAACACCACACTTGCTGAAGGCTCGGGAAATGGGATTTTAGCGCTATTGTTAAAGAGAAAACTGCAATGCATGGCAATTCACGTTTTTTCTGACCAAAATCTCTACTGAATTGTCAGTTGCTGCAGCCTCTTCCTATAATGTCCCGGCTCATTGCAGGGGGGTTGGACTAGATGACCTTTAAAGGTCCCTTCCAATTCAAACTATTCTATAATTCTGTAATGTTTTTGGGGCAAGAGTCACCACCCACCCACTCGCTATCATGTTACCAGCACAGATGTGAAGTCCAACTGTTCTGCCCTGGCAATGCCACGTCTAACATGCTGATCTGACTGCACATAGCTGAAATGCAACTAAGAACCAGTTAAATTGCAAATGGCTTGCAGTTTGCTTTAGAAATACTCTAGTTCTCATCCTGTAATACTTTCTAAGCGTACTTGAAAGAGTACTTGAAATCCCTTCAATTGTCACTGGCCAGCTCCCTTCCAAAGTTGAGGCCAGTTTGTTTTTTTTAATGGGTATGGTCAGAGCTGTTAATCTTGCCCTCGTTTCCACATTTGCTTCCCTGTACGGAAACTGAAGTAACAGAAAGACAATAGTGAGATCAGGCAAAAAAAAGAGAGTATGTGCACCGGATTTACCTACCTGCATAATTGCATAATTTTACTTGTTCAAGTCTCTGATCTCTTCAGTAAAGTAGCATACAGTTTGAAATATTATAAACACTAAAGGTGTTAACAAAACAAATCTCTATCTCCATTCAGAGCATGAGCAATATTGCCTCTGCTCCATAATTAGAATTTAGCTTCTGAGCCTTACCACATTATCTGGCAGCTTGTGTCCAGGGAGATATTTTACATTTTCATGTTCACTATTTATGATATCCGTCAGTTTTCTCCCATTAATATTCTCCTCGAAGACCCACATCTTCACTGTGGAAGCAAACTTCTGCATTTTTTTTACATTATTGCCTATTATTTTGGCAACCGCAGAACCCCTGCAGGAAAGAAAACAAAAATATTCTAAAAAAAAAAAAAAGATTTTGCTCTAGAAGAAAGAGATTGTCTTTAAAATAAACAGAAATTCACAGGTTATTGGACCAGTTACTATGTAGCATTTTTGAACTAGTAAAACAAGTGGAAAAACGCACCAGTCATTCACATCTGCTGCTTTCTCTCAAATAGATCTGGAGTAGGTTGGACTGAAGCATTTAGTGAAAATGTCCTTACTTATTTTGTCTGCTTACTGGCTATCCAGTGAGAGTTTGGGTTACAGTACTTCCACAAATCAAATGGATTATATCTTCAAGGCAGTGGTAAAAGTGACATACTCAATTTTAAAAAAATGAATCATTTTACACTCTCAAGAAACAGGAGGCTTTCTTTGCTAAGATGACTGACCCATCAATTGCTGTACAATACTGATAAGCATTTAAAGCCAGGAAGCATTTAGATCTCGCCTAAATTGTGAGCTTTATTGTTATGCTGCCAGCCTCACAGCACTTAACTGTTGCAACAGCATCCTCTGAATTTGCAGGCAGACAATTCCATTACTGTTAGCCCCATTTTCTCCCCAAGAACAGCACACAGTGAAACCTGTAGGATGGTGATCAATTTTACTAACTGAAATCTCTAAGCAACAATGAAATTAATCTGAATTACTGAAGCGACATGCAAGAGGAGGAACAAACACAATCTTCCCTTCCATTCCTGGCCTGAATGCTACATGGAAGAAAAAGATGCAATTTCATAAAGCCCGTTCTTTAACCTAACTTCCTTTTCTGGGACAAGAAGGCAGCTTCATAATTACTGATAACCTACTAAGCATACAAAAAAAAAATTAGAAAGATGTGAAAAAAATACACAGTCACCAATCTGAGGCTTATGCATGTGTGTGTGTGTGTGAGGGGGAACTGCACACCTTATTAGGATGTAAGAACAATTTAACTTTACAAATCTAGTTATACGCACACACTCCCCTAAATTTATTGTGGACATTGCTTGTAATAAACTCCTAGCTGGCAACTAAACCAAATAGATTCATTCTGCTTCAAGAGCATTTACTATAGCACAAGTCATTGTGCTATATTAAAGACGTGTGCTATCACAGGCCTAAGGTCACTTGCTAAGCAGTGGCACAAAAAAATATAGTATCCTAAGTAGACCTTCTTCAGTTAAACCATAAAACTGTGTGTCTTAAAAGACTGAAATTTATCTCTCCAACAGCACTTCACACAGTACAAAGTCCCTTGGTTTCAGGAGGTGATACAGAAGCCACAATTGTCGGCCATCTCTTATCAACCTCACATTCCAGATCTGAATGTGCACAGAGTGGTTTCCACTGCAATGGTGGACAACTCACCAGCTCAACACCCAAATTTCAGATCCATGCAAACAGTATGAACTACATTCAACACAACACAGGTATGTGTTCCTCAGAAAGTGTTCTGAGTACCCTGAATAAAAGCACGTTTACTACTGCAGATTTATGTACAAAGTCTGGATCCTGGCAAATTGCTGTCTTCAGTTTTGAACTTCACTACACACTCTGTGTACTTGGTGTTGATAAAGACAGAAACAACTGATTCAGCAACTGTCCAACTGGGATTTTCAAACATTTTGCCAGCATAAAGTTTTGCAGCATGTACTACTTGAGCGAGACATTCATTCCATTACTATTTAACACTTAAATGCCTTAGCTGCCTTTTTTTTCAGCCTTTGAATGTAGTATAAAAAAAGTGAAGATTTGTCTAGTCTTAGTTCTTGAATTCAATAAGATTCTCCAAGGTCAAACAACTGACACCAAGTGTAAGATTGCTCTACACCAGGTGAAATACCAGCTTCCCACACTTGTTAATCCAACAAGCCCTATAATGTCTCCTGTGCCCTAACACTCCTCAGTGTGTACTCTGAAATAATTTAACTGGAATGTCTGGCTCATCTTGGATACTCCTGACACATCGCAAGGCAAAGGGACAGGTATTCTTGCCAACTTATTCCTAGTAACAACAGTTCCAGTGTGAGCTAGGTGGCAAGACTTGATGCCCGCAGCAGCTCAGTTGCGCAACAAAAACCATAGTGAAAGATTCCCGCATAAACCTTTCTAATGCTATTCAAGTAATACAAGACAGTTGCACGCCAAATAGCAGTTCTCTTCCTTGCGATGAGCATCAACGGTACGCCCAAAGTACAATCACACACAATTACTTAACAGGTCTGAAGAACTGTATCTGACATTCACTGAGCAGGACCACCCATTTTGCCTCCTGCCCTTCGGTGTTACAGTGTATCACAGTTGGTCTGCTTTTCCCTCATCCCTTTAAAAGTAAAGCACAAGCCCCAGAAACTCCTAAACTTGCCCTGATACCAGCATCAGTGGAGGTCACAATATGCAAGTGAAAATAACATTATTAACTCAAGCTCTCCCACTTATCCCTATAACATCACCTCAGTTCAGCCACAAGTTACCTCTCCTTTTTCACCAGCAAGTTCCTAGTCATATGAACCCCTCTGTCCCGGTAACTTCCCACCTCTTCCCACACTCTACAGTTGCTGTTCAAGTTGGGCAATCAGATTAATTAACAACTGGTTCTAGCAAAACAGACAGGGATAAATTCTGGCCGTGCACACCTTGTTAACCTGCCCTGGAAATGTTATCAGAAGAGCAGGCCACAGTACACGTCCGAGGCAGCGTTTGCAGAGTTTTCACTGAATCTGGGCACTGTCCTTGAATCCTGAGGCTCCAGGGCATATTCTCAAGGTGTACCCTCTTCACATTCAAGAAAGGTTATTCTATCCCCTACCTTAAGGATCCTAATACAACCACTTATCCACCAGCTGAGCAACCCTAAATGGGCACGGCCAGCAAAGAGCACAGCTCCTGCTCTGCAGTGCCTTGCGAGCCATCTGTCCAGTCCCATGATCTTCCAACAGGTGAGACCCTTGCCAAGTTAACTTCACTGTTAAGGTGACCTTCCCCCTAGCAAACTGACCAAACAAGTCTGACCGGAACCAATTTATCATTCAAGGTGACTGGTTCAACCCTTCTGAAGGGTCACTGTTGTGCCAAGATCCTTCAGTGCTTTTTTTTCATCCCAGATATAGGTTAAAGGGGCTGTGAGAAGGCAAAGATGTCCATACAGTTACTGGCACTTGTGGAGCAGAATCATCTCACGCAGAACCCCAAAACCCCACAGTCTCTGAACTGCTAAAGATACCAAACTCCACTCAGTTCAACGACTTAGGTGCTTACAATTTAGGCAACACCAGCCACGCACTCCTGTAACCCAGGCTTCAAAAATATATAACCCCAAAATACCAATGATAAGATGTATATAAATGCTTCAGTTTCTTTCTATTTACCTGCTTTTGAGCATTAAATGCTTCCACTGTACAACCACAGGCCCCAGCTCAAAAAGGCACTTACACGTGCACAAGTACACAACTCAGACTAAGTTCTGTGGTGCTCCATGGTTGCACATATTATTGAACCACAGTGCTCTTTGCAGTCAGGGTTTAGAGTCTGTCATCCCTCGGACTTTAAGGAAGAAATTGCCTACCTCTCCAAGAATTACTGTTTTCAGAAACATTCGGGGTGGGGGGGAGATGGGAGACCTGTTGCACATCAAATCATTTGCAATTAAAAATTTTGTATTACTTTCGTTTCTGCTTTCCTGCCACAAAAAAAACTGCCACGCTGCTATCACATATGAAATAAGCTATCAGTTATTCGAATACTTTATCCCCAAAAGAAACAAAAAAGCTGATGCCCAGTAATACCATTACCTCTTTCTCTCAGCATCACAGATATGGGCATTTTGCCACCAAACATCCTTCCTATTAGGCAGGAGCTTTTCTTGTTACTAAACCGATCCTTTGAGGTGAAAACAAAATATACACGCACATGGTTATCGCTACCAGGTAATATCTACAAATTCTTTTTTTCTAGATTTCAAGTATGAAAGAACTGCAGCAATACTCCTAAAAGACAGATAGGTCTAACTGCATGATTTCCTTCTGACACATATTGCAATGCACAGTATCTTCCCTGTTCATCTTACAAACTAGCGCAAGGAAAGCAAGAGGTGCTGCACTGAGATGTCAGCCATTCTCTCAACAAGCCATCACAAATCCAAACACAACTTGGCAGTTACCGATACTTTTAACTATGCAAAAGAAGGGGGCAGGCGGTGAGCAACAAGTCTCAGATCACCTTGACAAAGCACTGTCTTGTTTAATGAACTGCAGTCCTTCGCTCTACACCAAACTCCTCTGAATTTAGTCTTAAAAACCAGAATGTTATCAGAAAGAATATACAATAGATAATGTATAATTCTGTATTATTAGTGTATATAATATTAGTAATTAAAGTGACAAACTGAAGACACATTTATGTAACACATTGTACTTCACTTGTTCATTGTAAGTAGGGATCCAGGGTAAAAACAGTGTTCAGGAATGGCAGAGAAACTGAAGCAGCAAGGCGAAGGATTACCAACATGATGCTCCTACTAGAGAGATGATTCGTACTTCCACTGCTTTCAGTGGACACAACAGCAAGTTTATTTAAGTCTAATTATAAGCTGGTGATAGATGCAGCAATAAAACCCAGTCTCCAGCCTTCAGTCTGCTTCGGCATAATCAATTTGAAAAAGAAAAGGTGTTTCAAATAACACCTTTGTGTTGTGTCTCACAACTCTTCTCTGGAAAAGGGCTAGCATAGGAAACCCCGAGCAACTTGTTACAGCGCTTAGTTAGCAACGACCTGCTGGGGGAAAACCAAAAAGGTTCAGTATCTTTACTGCCTACATCACCTGACATCGGAAAAACCACACCACAAACACCAGGTTAAAAACATCCTGAAATAACTTCTCCGCAGAGCAGATGGGCGCCCACAAGCGCGCAGAAACAGGGCGCTCCGTCCTGCCCCTTCTCCCTCCGCTCACCCCAGGGCAGTACCCCCGCCTCCGGGGGAGACCGACGGCTGGTGAAGC